CAATTTGAAAAAAAAAAAAAAAAAAAAGAACTAATTACGGAGAATATCTCGACCGCTCGTAAGACTCGTCGAGATCTGTTCTGCGCGTTGGCCTGAGGGCGACGCGTCGCTTTTGCTAATAAATAAATAAAGCAAAAAATACATATATAAAGATCAACTTAAACTTCGTATAAAAGTTTTTCTTTATAGATGAAATTTTAGCTTTATTCATTTATTTATTTTTTCTTTTCATCAACAAGGTGATTAGGCCCATGATAAAGCTTTTATCTTGCAGAAATGTGCAATCGGCCCGACGACCTCATGCCATGGGGATATACTTTGTTGCTTGTAATTTTAAAATGTTACAAATCATATGGTTAGTAGGATTCTTTTTCAAATGCAGCAGCTCGTGCACAACTGCACAACTGCAGAAGTTTGGCACGCGATCACACATACTGCACACATTAAGGCCAAAATCAGAAATCTCTTCAGTGACAAATGTCATATTGGTGTAGTATGTTGGATTGATAGGTTATTGCTGTTTACAATATACGTGCATTCGCTTCCATAAAATGATGGTTATCAGCGTGTTGCTGAGTGGATTTTATTGTCAACACAGAATAAAATTAGTTATACGTGTTTTAATTTCCAAATTTAAAAAGCCGTTTAACTTGAAAAAAATACGAAAGTTAGTAGTATTCACTGAGAAGCATTCTTGACAAAATAAAAGCGCTAGCTAAGTAGGAAATATAACCTGACTGGACGGTGTTAGCCTATATTTGGTACAAGTAAATGCCCCTTTCTCCATTTCAATTTTTCCTGCAAAATTTGAAAACATAGGCAGTTTAAATTATAATGATTAAGAAACATTATTGAAGAAGCATCAATCAATCAATCAATCAAACGCTATATATTTTAGTTGTTTGCAACTCGATGTTTCAAGTATTTATTGTTCCACTTTTTTCCATTGGACCAAGTGACGTGTCAAACAGCCTGAGCAGAGACAGTAGATTTATAATAGCCATACTATTTCTTAAACCTGTCTACAGCTTGCCCAGTATTTATATTAAAAGTAATAATTATATCCCTCGATAAATAAATAAATAGAATCCAAAATTGTATCGAGTTTCAAAAATAATGACCGCGATCTTTTATTCACCTATTTGCACATAATCTGCAAGACTGGTCGCTGATTTTCCTAAATTATTTTGCTACTTGATAAAATGATATGAAATGAATAGCTGTTAGAATAAACTTTTTATTCATATGCAATATCTTGGTCCGTTATGAAAGTAACCTCCATTTAAATTTTCAGATGTTATTAACTGAATGTGTAAGGTTTGATTTGAGCAGAAAAAAAAAAACAGATTGAGCAAATATTTTGACTGTAATATCAAGTTATCATCAAAAATATATGGGATGATTTTTGGGAGGTCTTGCGAATTATATCTATAGCACTGCATCAATGTGAAGTCCACCCCATTCAAATTGCATAGTTGGTAAAAAGTTGAAATGTTACGTCATGCAAGTGAACAGTGCTTGGACTGCATTAAATGACTATTAATTTGCCTGAATTGCCTAATAATTTGCCCAGTGTAGGTGTCCCTTTACAGTCGTAGTCTTGTACATATTAAATATCTATAACATTTCATAAAAACTCATGAGAAATAATATGGTCTAATTCATTTTTTAATATTTATTAAATATGACAAAAAAAATACATGTATTATATCAATACAAGAAAATGCTCATGTTACAAAACTGGAATGTACATCTAAGAACTTTTTAACAATGCAATACAAATAGGTTGTGCATTCTTGGCATGATATCCTTGGCCATATTTAACATTCTAAGTTTCTAAATAAATTGATAACAAAAAAATGCTGACATAATGCACTTGGTATGAACAATTGTATGACAAAATTTATTGACAATTGCAAACAACAAAAGTTTTAACTACCATTGTTACCTCTGCCAAGGAGGTTATATTTTTGCCTTTGTTGGTAAGTTAATTGATGGCTTCACTCAAAAGGATATGGGCAGATTTTAATTAAAATTTCCAGAAAAGTCAGAGAGTACCAAACTTACAACTGCTTTGATTCCATTGATCCATTATTTAATTTTAATTGATTAATTAAAATTAGTAAATAATGAGAACTGAGCTACCTTGATGGAGGTCTGGCCTCTCTGAGTGCATCTCTGTTTTAATCATGAATTGCACTGAGACAAAGGTAACTGCCAAAGATTTTGTTTGCTTGCATTTAACATCATAAAAAATATCATACAAGATAATTGTTCAATAGACTAGATAATCTGTTCACAGAATTGACAAAGTTGCTTACATACATGAAGACATGTATGTTATTTGAAGACTTATACACTGACACACTGGGCCCTTTATTTCACCTACTCATCTCAAAAGCAAAGTCATGAACAGGAAGATGAAACATACCGCAAGAAGTTTTAAAAACAGGATTTTCCATTCAAATAAAAAAGAAATCATGCTATCCACTAATATTTAAAAATAATTATTGCTTACAAAAAAAAAAATAAAACTAGTTTTATATCAATTAACAACAAATATTTCATAATGTAGAGGCTGCAACTGTTCACATAAAGTTGATCATGTGCTTGACCAAGAAGTTATAATGAGAAGGAGTAGAAACAAGGGGTTTCCTTTCATCCTATCCTCGTAACGGGCTTAATCCTAATAATTACCCAGCTTGTGGTCTTAGGGAGAGCTTGTGCCTAATACATATTCAAAAGACCATTCACGTGGGTTGCTTCAGCCAATTGGGATAAAGCCTCGCGAAGTCTCTAATAATCTCACAGAGAAAACATGGTGGGACTACAGAAAGGTGTAGAGAGAGATTTCAAGCCTGGACGCAACCATTTCAGGAAATAAAACTCAAATTATGCGAGATACACCTTCATTTGATCTAGAGCCGATCAGTTATACAAAATTTAGTTTCACATCAAGAATGTATGAGAACAATTTCACAAACCCACCTTCAACGCTAAAATTTGCACCTGTAGAAGTCTCATATTTATCTTAAATTATTTTTGTCGTGTAAAGGAAATTTCCCTTCATCTTGGAATGACACATTCAATTCACAGCCGTGTACACAAAACAGTAGTAATTGCAATTTCCGTATGCCAGCCTCGTTTCTTTCTTTTTTGGCACATTATTGCTTATATACCAGGTAGAGCTTAAACAGGAAAATTGGGGAAATGTAAATAAGTTATTGCACTTAGTATGATTCTATATAAAATTTCATTAATACATATTTTTGTTTATATCTTTGTCTATTACATGAGGCCAACTAATAGTAGACTGATAGTTTAAAATCATTAGAAGAAAAAAACAAAGAAATATTTTCATTGATTGATATTGCTTTATTTCAACATTCGAGCAACTTGTATAATATCTAAAACGAAGTACCAGCAATGAAAATATATCAATATTGTTACACCCAACAGTGATTAAAGCAATACAAAAATGGTTAGTTTTTATTTTGATGTGGTGATTATTTTATTTTATACTTTAGACAATTAGCCAGTGAACACTAAATTCCCTTTTAAAACTTGGACCACTAAATTCCCTTTTAAAACTTGGACCTCTTGTGCACTATAGTTTAATATTAGTGGTGGTAAGAAAACAGAGCCTTGTGCCTCATCAAGTTGCTGCTGGAAACAATCATTTTGACTGTTCAATTATGGCTACATGTACATCTGCCAGCAAAACTAAAGATCTTTCACCTGCATTCTCTTCAACCTGAAATGAGTAAGTGCGGAATTCATTACAAAATATAACTCTATATCCTAAACGAAACTCTGCAAACATCATATTGCAATAAAAAATTGAAAAAAATTCCGAGAGTTCCCTGTCATCAAATTTTGGACCCACCATTTTGAAAAAGTCCCATGAAAAGTTGTTTATTTGAAACGATGTTTTTCATCTAAAGGATTGATTCATTTTATATCACAATGATATATTGTAATGGTGCACGTGCTTAACTTACCAGAAAAACATAAATTATATGCATACACCACGTTTAAATTACCAAAAATTGTCCCAAACTGTCACCCAACTGTCTCTTACCAATTTAGGGACCCGCCATTTTGAAAAAAGTCCGATGAAAAGTTGTCTATTTGAAACGATGTTTTTCATCTAAAGGATTGATTTATTTAATACCAAAGTGATGTATTGTAATGATGCACGTCCTTAACTAACCAGAAAAACATAAATTATATGCATACACCACGTTAAAATTACCAAAAATTGTCCCAAACTGTCACCCAACTGTCTCTAACCAATTTAGGGACCCGCCATTTTGAAAAAGTCGGATGAAAAGTTGTCTATTTGAAACGATGTTTTTCATCTAAAGGATTGACTCATTTAATATCACAATGATGTATTGTAATGGTGCACGTGCTTAACTAACCAGAAAAACATAAATTATATGCATACACCACGTTAAAATTAGCAAAAATTGTCCCAAACTGTCACCCAACTGTCTCTTACCAATTTAGGGACCCGCCATTTTGAAAAAGTCGGATGAAAAGTTGTCTATTTGAAACGATGTTTTTCATCTAAAGGATTGACTCATTTAATATCACTATGATGTATTGTAATGGTGCACGTGCTTAACTAACCAGAAAAACATAAATTATATGCATACACCACGTTAAAATTACCAAAAATTGTCCCAAACTGTCACCCAACTGTCTCTAACCAATTTAGGGACCCGCCATTTTGAAAAAGTCGGATGAAAAGTTGTCTATTTGAAACGATGTTTTTCATCTAAAGGATTGACTCATTTAATATCACTATGATGTATTGTAATGGTGCACGTGCTTAACTAACCAGAAAAACATAAATTATATGCATACACCACGTTTAAATTACCAAAAATTGTCCCAAACTGTCACCCAACTGTCTCTTACCAATTTAGGGACCCGCCATTTTGAAAAAAGTCCGATGAAAAGTTGTCTATTTGAAACGATGTTTTTCATCTAAAGGATTGATTTATTTAATACCAAAGTGATGTATTGTAATGATGCACGTGCTTAACTAACCAGAAAAACATAAATTATATGCATACACCACGTTAAAATTACCAAAAATTGTCCCAAACTGTCACCCAACTGTCTCTAACCAATTTAGGGACCCGCCATTTTGAAAAAGTCGGATGAAAAGTTGTCTATTTGAAACGATGTTTTTCATCTAAAGGATTGACTCATTTAATATCACTATGATGTATTGTAATGGTGCACGTGCTTAACTAACCAGAAAAACATAAATTATATGCATACACCACGTTAAAATTACCAAAAATTGTCCCAAACTGTCACCCAACTGTCTCTAACCAATTTAGGGACCCGCCATTTTGAAAAAGTCCGATGAAAAGTTGTTTATTTGAAACGATGTTTTTCATCTAAAGGATTGATTCATTTAATACCAATATGATGTATTGTAATGATGCACGTGCTTAACTAACCAGAAAAACATAAATTATGTGCATACATCACGCACTTAAGAAGAAAAAAGTCCTAAACATGGAGGGCCCGCTGAATCGGCCTCAGATCTTCGAGCTAACGCTGCTTTCTGCACTGACAAATTTGACTGACAGCCACCGTATGAACATAAAACAATGCTCAAATCAGAATATGAACTCTCACTCACCTTTATATCGCTCGACTTGGCGTTTTTCTAAGTATAACTTCCAAATATTCGCATTAAACATGAATAAATCAAGACGTATGCGCACTGGTTCAGCTTCTCCGTCTTGAGTCACGCGGAGGCGAGCGGAGGATTAGACCAGTTACGAGGATCGAATTTCAAAGGACGCCGCTTTGAAAAGAATGCTGCGATCTGATTGGACGAGAGAGATAATTGATGTCCAGTTTCTACTCCTTCTCATTATAACTTCTTGGCTTGACAGAGTTGTGCACAGATATCACTGCTTCAAAAAGGATTGCTTAAAATAACATGCAAAAGTTCCTGAATTTTAGGACTTGCATTCACTATGAAAAAAATCTTTATGGGCATACAATACTGCAGCCTACAGTCAGCTAGAACATAAAGAATACTTCACAAAAGTGACATTCTACTGTTCTTTTTTTGATGCCATATGTCCATTCTTGATATATCCATTCTTCACATGTCCATTTGTGCTGTGACCATTTTGATTTATATGTCCTTCATTAGTGTCTCCCTTGCCATTTGTATGCAGGGTTTTATACTGGAAAAAGTAATAATTCTTATAAGATATGGTATAAAGCTTTGCTTTTCAAGATAGTACAACAACTAATTTGCATGAAAAGTTTATTAAATCAGGGATCAAGTAAGGGTGAATATGACCAGATATACATTGCTACTTACTACACTGGAAAAAATTGTCCCTTTTCAAAAATTTTATCACATATATACACACATATATAAAGGGTACAATTTTGTAAATTCTGCATATGTTAAACATATAACAATTGTACATTTTGAAAAATTAACAATAAAAATTTCACAAATGTCAGAATTTTCAGTAATTATTGGTCAACTGATCATCAAATGCCCTTCACAAATGACAATGTATTCTTATAGATACAATCACGTGTTTAATTCTGTCTTAAAATACATCATATCTACCTGCTTATCTCGTTTGGATTTGATATAGGCATGGAAATAGAAGTTGAGGAAAAGGCCCAAAATTGAGCCTCCATAGAGAATCAATGCCACCTGCATCCACAAGGGGAATGGGCACTGTAGGAGCAGTGACTGTGCTGCATGGGCCATGCCAACCACAAACTGTATCTACACACAGAAGAAACAAATTGATTTAAAAATAAGCAAGCTTCTACACCTAAAATTACCTTGAGGTTCTTTTTATGAACATATTCTTGTATGTAGAAGTTGAGGAAGAGTGCAATTATAGTGGCCCCATATCCCATTGAAGTGTAGGTCATCCAGAGAGGGTATTTGCACTGAACATAAAGTGTTTGTACTGCATAAACCATCCCACCAAAAAATTGGATCTGCAGAAAACAGAAACAAGCATGCAACCTTCACTCTTCCTGAACTCTCTATATATTAATACCCCTAAGCAACTTAGACAACCATTGTGCAAAGTGCAGTTGTGTTACTGAAGAATGCCTTAATGCTACAAGCTGTTTGGCATAAAATATAGTTAAAGATGTTAGTAAGAAACATAATGGTAAACCACAAGTTACTCCTCATATCAACAAACATATTAATAAGATATATATATGTATATATATATATATATATATATATATATATATATATATATATATATATATATATTTTTTTTTTTTTTTTAAGTCCTTGGAAAGCATACTGAAAAACATTCATGAAAATGATATGTAACAAAGACATGCTTAAGTATAGTGTTATATAAAAATATGGACTTTATAAAATAATAATAATAATAACAAAAACATTCTAGAATGACTGCTTAATATACCCAATTAAATAAAACATTTAAAGATCGAATGAAACAATGTCCATCAGACCTCCCTTACCAGCTGTAGTTTGGTGAGATACTTCTTCCACCATAAGTACTTCTGGTACTCAGGACCTAGGGCTGCAACTCCATAATATGTGTACATCACTACATGAATAAATGAATTAATCATTGCACCCATGAATGCTGAAAAGAAAAAGAGAATCTATCAACTATTAATTCAGATAAGATCGTCTTTGCAACTCCATAAAATATGGATATAATGTGGGAAATCAAAATACAAAACAGTAATAAACTGAAATATAACTGTTAATTACTTATTGTACTTAATGTTCTCCAGAATTTAAAAACATAAGCTCAGGATTTAAATAACTGCGCATGCATGAAAAGCACTCTGTTTGTAATAAACAAATGTTGAAATTGGCAAGGCCTGTCTGTGTTTACTATCTGGTTGATTTGATTTTTTTCTTTTTTTTGCTTTCTGGTGTCATTTTGAGAATGTTTATTGGAAATGTTCTGTGGGTTGTATGTATTAATATGTATTAAAAGGTAAATCCATCAGACTTTACTTAGAATAATATTTACTTTGCCTTCATCATAAGAGGATTCCCATTGTATTATAGTGTTGGGTTTTGTAGGTTTTCGGCTAAAAATGCCAAAGATCATCTTGCGGCCTGGTTCTCACATTAAGGCGAATTGTTTTCTTTCTGTTTTAAAAACATACACTTACATTGACCTCCTGCAACCCATTTTACACCGATCCACCATATTGGAAACATGGTGGCATGATGGTATACATGCAAAAATGATACTTGATTGTTCTTCTTCCTCATGACAAAGAAGATGGTATCTAGGAATTCAATGCACTTTGAAAAATAATACCACCAAAGGGCTTTAGCTATCTGAAAAAATAAAGAAATTTGAAAGTGTTATGCAGTAATATGAAAATGAATGCAAATTATACATTTAATGTACATTCTGCAACTTTTCAACATCAGAATTTTTGTGTCAAATTCTGGAATATTATATTCTCTCATAAATAGGTCTTTGTGTGCACAATATAAGTTCAGAAGCTAATGCTTTTCGATCATTATCTTGATAGAAGACCAAGTGTCTCAAAAATTACCTCCAATTAAATTCTTATGTTTTCAAAATAACTTCACATACCAGTACAAACACTTTATTGATGAAAACTCATCTCATGCTGCAAAACAATCGACTTACCCTCATTTCATCTGGGTCATATGAATAATTTACTGTTTGACATGAGTAGCTATAATTCAATTTCCAGGAGGCACTAAAAAGCTGAAAATAAAAGAAAGAAAATATAGATAATCAGACCATTTCTTCATCACTATTGTTTTTACTTATCATGATGATGATAACACATCCTATAAAAAACAGTCTAAAACTTTTAAAAGAACAGTTAAGTTAGATATATACAAGTCCCCCTCCCCCAAATTATTTATGCATGCTGTTTTCTGCATTTGACTTACCTCTGAGCATATGTGCCAGTTTAGTATAACCAAAGCTAGGTTGTATGAAAATATAGCCCATCTTAACTGGAAAGGTTCTCTATTTTTCATTATCTTCATTCCACTCCATATGGAGAATAAGTATAAAACAACTAATCCCAAAGTTGGAAGAGGTGACTGCATAAGAAGCCAGTCAGCAACTCGTTCATCTGAAAATGTTATTGACATGACTTATTAAATGGGTTCTCAAAGTCAATATTTTTTTCAACATTATTTTCTCCTTTTTTTTTTTTTTTCGGGGGGGGGGGGGGGGGGGGGCAGGGGGGATTTGAGGTGCAAAAAAATAATNGGGGGGGGGGGAGGGGCAGCAGTAATGCAGTTGTATAAATTTCTTAAACTAAGAATAACCTAAATATAAAATCTCTTCTCTTGTAAAAGAAGCAAGATTTTGTTGGACGTGGAGGAGTATAAGGTAAACAATTATGAAAAACTATGCAGTCTGGTGCAACAAAAACAAACAAACAAGCATAAAGAAAGTGACAGATGCTATCCACGGATATTTTTCTCTAAAATTCTGTCAAATTTCAGTGCAACTTCACCATATTTTGTAAACCCGCTTTGTTATTCATACCTGCAATAGATAAAGTCCATAGGTAACCTTCATAGAGATGGTTAAACGTGTCTGTTACCACTTCAATCATAATTCTGGTTAAAGCTGAAAAATATAGAATTTCAAGATTCATGAAAAATTCGTCAAAATAATAATTGCATGGTTATGTATGTCTGCAAAATCATTATCTTTTGTGATTTTCATACTTTTTTGGAGTGCAATTCTTTCAAATATGAAACCTTTCAGAGATACTTAGGTTATTTTTGCTATTTGTTCATGAGTGGTTGTCATGAAAAGCATGCATTCATAATTAGGCTTATGCTAGCTGTTTTCCTGGTTAACAATAATGGAACAATAGTTACTATTAGATCCCTGAGAATACACATACTAGTAACCAAATGAATCAAACTAATGCTATCAGGAAACAGCATTGATTGCTCAGTTTCAGAGGGCAGTTCACATGATATATTGAGCGGGAATAAGACTGAATATAACTGACCAGAACAATCCTTAGCAACTGACATGCTAAGTTCAAACACAAATATTGGCACAGTAATATCTGACATAACATTCATGCCCTAATTGTGTACTCAACAGCTGAATCTTGTAAACTGACACTTAAAAAAATATAAGCTTCATTTTTAGTTTCGCCATTGGCATTTAGTCCTAACCTTCAGCTTTGTTCACAGTTCAGTTGTATGTGAGGTCTATAAAACTAACAAAAAGGTTCGTTGACCAGCTTAAATTTAACTCTTACCTATATTGGTATACCTATCTATACCTATTGTTAAAAGGCACATGTAGATTTGTTAGCATGTGAACATAGCAACATGGACCAGTGACCATTCAAAAGTACCCTGGTGTGTGCTCACGTTATTGTTCTAACAATACCAAGTATTCCCTTTCTTTTGATAACCATGTGCAGGTACTCAACAGGTAAACTGACTTTGCTTTAAGATTGAGATTTTTAAGCCTAACATTGGCCTGGTGCAATTGACAAACTATTTTAGAAATAAAGCAACAATATTGTGTAATTTAAGTAAAGAATCTAAACACATCTGCCCCTACAATCACAGTCTCTGTTAGATGATCAACTGATCTGTTTCAGTAAACTTTTGATTTTTACTATTTACTATTAGGAGCAATTAAGGCTGAGCACTATTCTGTCAATATCAAACATGTATAAAAAATCTGCAAATAAACAAATAGTTCTTTTTAAATATATATATATATGATAGGAATGTTACACAAGAGAAGTGGGGCAGTTCTATAAAACATTGTTTAAGAGGTGCTGCAGTCAACTTGTAACAGCATCCTGAAGCACCTCTTCTTACATCACACTATCTAAAAAGTGTTATGACTTAAAGTCACAGCATTTTTTTTTTTTTTTTTTTTTTGGCTAATGTCAGGTAGCAAAGTTCACAATTCATTGCAGTTGCCCATCCCAATAAAGCTCATGCACACAGCCATGATAACCACGTGCAATGCTCTTTAAAATGTGGTTTGCTATCAGTTTTATCTCTCAGCAATTGACAGATTAAATAAATGTTCATACACTGACAAATCATAGTCCTTGACATCTGATAATGAAAGTGGGTATGTTTTTAAGGAGCATTTAAAGCCAGTGGTCTGAGATGTATACTTGTCACTCCACAGTTGACTGGCTGATTTTTATTCTCTAGTAAAATTTTTAACTTTACCTTATGTTTAATTCCTATTGCTTGAAAGACTAAAAATCTATTTACACATGATGCAAACTAGGGCAGTGAATCTATTGTACAGCGAACACAGGGTACTTCTAAAATACGTAATATTGACCTGGATAGATAATATGACGTGATACCGAGAAACCAGCTTAATGGCCCCAGATCGAGTATCCTATATAGCTCAATGCTTTAGTGTAAATTTACAATGATATTCTTGTATATGTATTGTAAAACAGGTACTGAGGTTAATTTTTGGCAACATGGTACATCATTTTTGTTTCGAGACGTACCTGCGGTGTAAATCTGTAGCTGCCGAAGCTGGATATAAGCCTTAGGCCGGTTGGCCTGCAAAGGTCTACAGTGTTATACAATGTCTCGAAATTCAGTCTTATAAGATGCATATTGTAAATGCTCAGAAGTCGCGGTCCAAGCAAAATAATACATTACTAACACAAGTACTGGTGAGGCGCGGTCGCTAACTACGGGAACTAGACTTAGGGGTCTAATCAGCATTTTCGTTAACGTGAAGAGATTATTACAAAGTCTATGTAAGAGATAGCTAATGAAGCACAAATACTCACCCCTAAACTTCAAGGTAACAGAATTATAGATGCATTTGGATAGTTAGAGCACTCGTTCGTTGCCACCAACAATCTTTAAGTCTGGCTCCAACACCGGTAAGTGCTCCTATATTTGACCTATAAAACAAAAGCTCTCATATTACGCTATTTGGTGATGCAAAGTAAAACGACGCCTCATTGGATGAAAAACTAGAGCGGGCGGTCATTTAAACGTTGCCGTGTAAACAAACACGTGCTTGTTTAACACGAGCAAAAGTGTACAAACATTTTAACGTGTTGAAGATGTGACCAGCGTAGTTTTCCGATAAATGTAAGTAACAATCGGTGATAGTATTGCATCAAAATTGCAAGAAAAACAATGTGCTTGTTTCGATGTCAAGTGATCATAAGTGATAGAGGCCTCTGCTGTAGTTTAGGGGTTAAATGGCTATAGACTGGCTGGTTGGAGATAGAAGTCATTATGCATTGTTGTGTGCCGAATGTACAGAAAAGTTGTGCCGTTCCCCAACCCCCTAATGATTATGAATGTATATACAGGTTTTACATACAAGAGAGGGCTTCAAGAAATATTATTGAAAAGGGTTGTTTGTAATTTTCAAAACTTTCAACACTAAGACAGCTGAAACCTTCGTTGCTAAATATGAAAATTTCCCCATTCTAGCATGACATGAATTTATAAAATGTCCATTATAAAAGAAGCTTATTTATCACTTTCTGTCAACAGAAATTAAGAAAATAGTAGAATGCATGAATATATTTTTAACTGTATTTTTAATTTTTTTATTTTCTTCAAATGGACCTATATGTTGATAATGGGTGTATTCTGTATTAAGAAAAGGTGTTATGTTTTCTGTGGAATATTTTTCTCATTAATTTGGAATAGATGCTTTTCTTATATGTTCATATAAATTTCTCTCTAGCACATTATCCATGCTGTCTTTTAATATTATATCACCCAGCGTTGTTTGAAATACAGGTACAGGGTAGTTAGGCTGATGCTCATGTTCAAATTATAATGAAATGCAGAAAATAGCCAAATGAAACAAAACCTGTGGAGTGCTGCACTTTAGTGATGTAGGGTGAAATTTTGTTAATTAAGATGCTGAAAATTAAAATATAAACAGCTTAAACATTTTTTCTAAAATAAATGTCAGAAATAGAAATTATGGAAAGTAGTAAAAGCTGTAAAGGTTTCTTGTGAACAAAATAGTTATGAAAGTGTATAGATCTGATGAATCATTTTTTTAAATTTATTTACAACAAAATGACACTCAAAAATAGAAGCAAATCTTTTAGCAGAAATAGGGAGAGTACATACATTTGTGTTTAAATATAATGACATTTACTAAAAGCGTTCTCATTTCAGAGCCAACTAGTAAAATAACTCCTAGCTTATACCTGTGAATAATAGGAATAGCTTCAATTTTGAAAATGGTGGGAGACCTCTACAGTGGAATCATGTCTCTATCAGGTCAGCAAATAAAACATTTTAACTAATTCTCCTTTTGCAACTGTTCGCACAAGTTTTTAACAGTTACAGTGCAAATGATATAAGTACATTTTACAGAAACTGTATCTTGTAAAAATCTGTTATTTGTCTAGCTATTGGCGAGTTATATGTACTGTTTAACTACATAAGAAATATCTACAAATAATAATAATCAATATTTTCTTTAATTCCTGCAGATCCAAGGACATCAGAATGGTTTCTTATGGACAGTCCAATCCCATCTTATACAGCAACTGCACTCTATTTGTACTTGGTGTGGAAGGGACCAGTATGGATGAAAAGCAGACCAGCATACAAACTAAACAAAGTGTTGGTTGTTTATAATTTAGGCCTTGTGTTCCTATCTGTATACATGTTTTGGGAGGTATGTTGTAATGTGAAATTCTGTTCAAATTAGGAAATTTCATAGTACAGTGATATAATATTATAATATAGAGCAAAAGTTTTATGCTTTTTCATTATGACTAATAATGCAAACAAGCATAAAATTCATCCACCACATGCCATGAATCACTGTGCTCGTGAATTATGATTTCAAAATTAGATCATTTATTTCCACAGAGTTTAGTTTTGCAAGTAAAATATGTCACAGATTAAGGCAACATTCAACTCTAGTATTTGGCAAAACAATTTTGCATTTACAGATATTTGCAAGTACTGTACTGAATGCCAGCTTTAGCTTGGTTTGTCAACCAGTGGATACCAAAGATGATCCCATGGCAATTAGAGTAAGTACATGTATATAGCTTATACTCTCATAAAAAACTCAATTTCATCTCTTTGCCAGCATGTCCTGTTTAAAGTTAATTATGTCCTATTTAAATATGGAAATGTCAGGTACCAAGATAAATGCATTAAACGTAAGATAGAAAATTATCATGATAAACAAGATTGAGTATTATCCAGAGTTTTATATATTGATGTCTGCAAATATTTGCATTTCAGTAAATATCTCAAGTTGTTTTTTTTAACACCTCGACTTACCATATATTCACATATCAGACAAGTCTTATGATAAAATGTATATGCTTAGGGACCATTCCCACAGATATTTGGATCGATCTATCTCCCTGGGAAGTCTCACTACAGTTGCTATCAATTTAACCAGCTTAAATGTCTGTCACGCCTAGTAAAGCCGTTAGGGGTAATGATCTTTACCCCCTAGCTGATTCGGTAGGTGTGACAGACAATTAAGCCGGTTAAGTTTATAGCAATTTAGTGAGACTCCCTATAGGGAGTTAGACCAATCCAGATGGTTCGTTCTAGGCATGGGAACCCAGTCTTACCCTTGAAACTAATTACCATTTAAATAAAGCCATGTTTTCTTTCATTTGGTATGCATGTATTCTGTAATAACCATGACTAATTAACATGATTGTTTATTTTATTTTATTTATTTTGCAGTTGGCTAATGTATGCTGGTGGTATTTCTTTTCCAAGATAATTGAGTTTATGGACACAGTAAGTTCATATTGCAAAACTAAATAAGAAATTGGAGTACCGTAGTCATTGTTCAGAACAAAGAGCGATGGAATTGACTAAAAACACCCGGCAGGCCATGAATTAGAAAACGCTGTTCTATATTACCAATAAAAATGTTTGACACATGTTTATGTTAATTATTCGTTGATTCAGTGTTGTCAAGGTTACTCAAATGCTGCACACTTTTATGTGTTCGTTTATTTTATTAATCAAAAACCGAGTTGTCTTTTGGTGTGGAGAACTTTTATAAATTACAAAATAATAATACTTATTTTTGTTTTCATTCAAGTTTTTCTTCATCCTGCGAAAAAAGAACAATCAGATAACATTCCTCCATGTGTACCATCACTCTACTATGGTGTTACTGTGGTGGATTGGAGTCAAGTTTGTACCAGGAGGTGAATGTGAGTATACTGTCAGACCCATCTTTTCCATCAGTTGTAAAGAAGATTACACTGCTAACCTTTTCTTTGTACAGATCTTTTTTGACCAGTAAATAATATGTAACAAGAATGGAATCATCCTACTGCTTTGATTATTCCAGCCTATTTTTCTGCCTTGGTTAACAGCTTGATCCATATTCTGATGTACACTTACTATGGACTGTCTGCCATTGGTCCACATATGCAAAAATACTTATGGTGGAAGAAGTATATGACATCTCTGCAGTTGGTGAGCCATGATTCTGAAAAATTGTTATTTGAGATGTGGGGAAAAGATGACATTTTTCTATGAATTTATGGGAGGGGGGGGGGCTACTTAATTCCTGCTGTGCAGCTCATGTTATGATCTTCCAACAAGAATAGCTTTTGACCGTTTCGACTAAGCATGTCCTGTGAGGAGTCCTTATTTGACTACAGCACATATTATATAGATTTGGAAAAGTGCTTTGAAGATCATTATGGTTTATGATAATTTTTATATAATCATAATAATATTTAGAATCATTTTGTTCACATCAATATTTTTGTTGCAGTCGTTTTCATCCTTTATACTGTGTAAAGTGTTATCTTGATGTTATAAAAATCACTTTTTATATATGAAAAAATGTTTTCATATTGAAAAATAATTTCATTATAAACTAAATTACCAGTTATATATGTCTACTAAAATCTTCACTTGTCCAAGAACTCTAACAGTTGTTTATTCTTCAATTTCAGCTGCAATTTGTAATTATTCTGTTCCATACCAGCTTCGCTATGTACAAGGACTGTGGTTTCCCAAATGGATACAATGCAGCTCTCATCCTCTACATGGTCTCCCACATAGTTCTCTTTGGCAATTTCTACCATCAAACATACAACAAGAGAAAGGAAATTGCCAAGCCATATGAAAATATTACTAAAAACAGCAGTCTTAGAACGCAAAAAATATCTCATGGAGAGTAATTGGAGAGTGCTTTTTTAAAAGGTTTTGGAATATATATATATATTCTAAAATATGATCATAGTTATTTATCAAGTGTGCCATACCCATATGTTGGCTTTCCCTTTTCAGTCATTTCATCCAAAGATAAATGTACACCTCAATCAAAACTTAAACCCCTAGCAGATAAATGAGATATTCTCAGCATTCTGAAGCAATTTCTATAAGATAATAGGAATGTTTTTGTTGGGTATATTGATTTTGAATTTTTAACTGTATTTTTTCCAAGTTTGCTATGAAAGGTATTTCTGCAACCACTGTAAATTATTGAAATACATTTTATACCAGGAATTATTTACGTTCAATTTGATAGGTTGTGAAGAACCAGATTTCTTGTTCATATTGAATTATAGTGCTTAATCTGATAGCAACAGTTATTGTGGCAACTGATAAAAGCTCATTATTTTGGGCAAGTGTAGTTTTATAGAATGGTTGTTATAAATTTAGTATTTTTTTAATAGCTTACAGGATATCCACTCAGTTATGCATATATATATATATATATCGACCTGTGGCTCTATCTCCGTTTCAAACTTCAGGAGTCCTGAAACTTATCAAAGCAGCTGTGATAACGTGTACATATACATTGAGCCGAGTACTGGCCTTTAGCAAGTTTTTCTTGCTTTTCTTTTACGAGTATTTAAAGTTGTGTGTGATGAATTATCAGTTTCATTTCTTTCAAACTGAACAGGATTCATTCAGGTTAGTTTGAGGCTCTAGACGGACTGAACAAATAAGTCACGTCTTTAAGAATTTCTACCAACACAGATTAAAGTGCCATTTAGAAAATGTCAGGAAATATGGTGTGGAGTCCAGGGGGCCAATGATGTTTTTGGCTCTCAAAGTCTGAAATCAGTCAATAGAAAAATCTCATTCCTGTACTTTTATTTAAAATGCAATATTGCAAATATATTAGTCATCATTTAAATAAATTTTGAGGTCAGAACAGTTTCTTGTTATTTTATAGCACAAAAAGAAAAATAACCTTGGCAAAATGAATTATTTTTCTCCCCCCACTGACAAAAATCGAAGTTCACTGTGCACAGGCTTGCAGCTTTAACAGATTTGAACCATCCCTCTCTTGGCCCCATTACACGTTAAATCTCTAGATGCAATGAGGGTCTTTAATTTAGCCTCATTTGTCCTACTTATCTGCCCTGTTTATATACAGCAAGCAGAAAAATTAATTTTTCAAATGATATGAAAGATGTCTTTAGGAAAGTTATGCTATTTGAAACTTGTACTATATGGTGGTATTTGGTCGACTTTTCTGTCAGAAAAATGACTCCAAACACATCTCTGAATGCCTTAGTTACATAAAGGTGCAATTTTCACAAAGAAAAGAACAACAACAACACGAACATTTCCTTATTGAAGATTCTCCTTTTTTTTTAGTTTTATTAATTTTTTTGCTTACTTAGAACACTTATGCAAAATTGTTGCAGAATCTTCTGTCTCATTAAGATGAAAAATCAGAGTCCTGTATGTAATTTCTCTGTACAGTGATACCAAGTTTATAAGTCTCCTACAATCCCATTTACTGTTGTGGTGCTCCCCTTCCTCTGCCAAAACCACCTCTCTGAAAAAAAAAATGCATGTGAAATTTTCATGTTTTTGTCAACATTTTCAGCTTAACAATCTAATTTATTTCAAAGTATCTTGTGAAAACTGTTTAATCATAATTTCCTCAAGATAATTTAACATAAGTAGGTAAATTTTCTGCAAGATTTAACTTACGAAGTTAAAACTTGGGTCTGCACCAGCTCCAACTTCTGATTTTTTGTCAACTCCAGCTACAAAAAAAAAAAGACAAGAAAATCAACCATGTGGATACACCTTCATCACAATGAAGATATCCGAGCATTTCACTACTTGTAGGAAAATTAAAACCTTTTAAAATAACCTTCATTAAGCCTATCTAATGGTTCACTTTACATTTAGAATTTTATTTTACTTTGAATGGACTTACGTGGTCCAGCTTTTCTGTATTCTGCTCTATCTGCTGCTCCAGGACCTGATCTTGGGCCTTCGGGACCTAAGGAGCACAAAGCAATTTTAAAATAGAAGTCAACAGTCATTTTCACGTTCAGGTACAATGGTGTTCTTGACTTGAATTATAAAAATCTAATTCCATCAATAATACTATACTGCAGGTCCAAAAAGCAAACAGGTGATCAACAGCAAAATTTATAATTGGGACTGTCAAATTAAAAAAAAAATTTTTTTACCAATGCTTTATTTCTTATTTCAACTTATCAAACTTAATTCTACCTTTATTCAATATTTAATTAATTAATTATGTGACTAAACAATTTTGAATTCTAAACACACACCTTTTGGTCGGACAGCTCTAGCAGCCTCTGGCCGTGCTTGTCTTTTAAGTGTAGAGGGCACGATCTCGGGTGGCAGGTGAAGAAAGTCCCGCAGATACTGGATTCCCTCATTGGTCAAATACCAGTAGTAGTGACGCCATGCAAACTGTTCGTTTACATATCCCCTGGACTTGAGAGACTACAAAAAGGAAATAATAGGCAAGTAAGTTTCAAATACATAACATTCCAAGTGGTAAGTGAAAAATGTATGGTGCAATCATTTAATATGCTGCTTTAGGGAGATGAAACTTTGCATTATTTTTACCAATCCTAACCAATAATACAGAAATCAAACGTGTGCTTAATTTTGGTAACATACCTGCATTGCCTTAATCACGTACAGATTCCTAACATTGTCAAGTTCTGGATGTTTTGGTGCAATGAAATCTTTTCTGGCCACCATAACACCCTCTTTAAAGAGGTGTTCATACACGGCAATACGGGCCTTCTTGGGCATCAACATCCTGCGGGAGAGACATTCATGTTCATTTTCAATAAATAAATCAAGCATACACTTGCATGCCAGAAGAAATAAAATGTAATGACACATACACTAAGAACTTATATCCATAAAAGTTAATGTAGAACCTGTGTTATATCCAAAAAAGTTAATGTAGAAGCTGTGTAAGACTTATAAAACACCATAGCATAAGGTACACTAAATACTACTTCATTAAAGCCTTGGCCAACTGATATCGAGTGCGAGTTTGTCGGTGTTAGGAAACGTAAGACGCATAAATAAGCACAGAAGTTATCTCGTTAACAGAATTATGTGAAAATATACTAGTCTGAAAAACTCTGAGAAACCGAGAAATGTCCATGTTTTTATTAATTATGGCGCTAATGGGCACCACTGACAAGACGAACATGAGAGTAAAGACAATTTTAATACATTGCTATGTTTGTCTGTATTGATTCATCGCCTAATCTGGATGTGATATTTAAGTGCAATATCTCAACGAAGTAGCTGACCAATATAAAATTCTGAACTTTCTTCAGAAAGACGGATGTTTCTAGATTTGTTTCGGAGTACTAAAACTCACTTTGTGATTCAAGATGGCTGCACACCGGAAAAGGAAGTTTAGAACGAGATTCTACGCGAGATTCAATATGGTAGCCTCCTATGCCACGGAATCTTCACGACCACTTACAAAATGTTTTGTGCTCTTCATTCTCTTAGGTATATCTCCAATATGTGGTCTAAGATCTTTTGGAAAGAAGGAGTTGAATTTTTATAGGTAAATTGTAATATTATTTTTATCACTTCCATTGTTAGAAAATACACATTTTTTTCCCCAATTTTTCAAATTTTCGCTTTTTTCGCCCCCCCCTCCCCCATCCAAAATGGGTAATATTATACTACCCCATCACAGGTAATTCTTAATTCATACATTTTATTTAAATGGCCCTTTGCCAAAATGTGCCTTGACATAAACATGCCTCGTTTTTACCAAATGTTTCACCTTGTCTCTAAATCTTTCATAATAAATGTACCTTACCTTGAAAAGATACTTTGAAGAGATAAATCCACATAATCTTAATCAGAGAAAAAGGCCTTCGTGCACCAATAAAGAGAGAAAGTCAAAATGCTGCATGATTTCTTTGGTAAATCAATTGGTCACACTAAGTGGGCATCATAATCAAGTTGGTTTGGTATGGTTTCTCTCAACTTATGCAGTACATGCATTTACCTGTGCCCATTTACCTGCTACTTTTTTTTTATCATGAACTAAGTTTGAGTCTGCCATTATGTACCAAAATGTATTAGAAAATAACAAGATCTATATATTAGAAATTGGTTGAATACATATCTTCTAAAGGATGTACACCGTGTCCAATGTTACTGTTGAACCACAAGTGCAATGGAGTGTCATATGTACAGAAGGAATTATCAACATGATATAGATAAAAGCTTCCAGAAGTATTCTTCTAAAGTTTTACTTAACATGATGATTTTGAAAGTATAAAAATTAAAACCAAAGTCTGACGTGATTTATTACATCCACAGGGTTTTTTAAAGTTCACTTTTATGTCAAAGGATAACAGATGTTACATTTCAAAATCAGATATCAGCCTGGCATCATCTTTTTCAGTCTTTTTCTCAGAAATGCTATACTCTGTTATCTTTGTATGACTTACAATATGTGGAGGATTTATAAATAATATAAATGAGAAACAAATGAGAACCAAAATATTTGTTGATACCCAATAGCAGGCCTAACCAACTACCAGACTCGGCACCTAAGGATCCTGAATTAACCGGTTTATCGGACCACTCTACCCGTTTTCAAGGTGTGTGTCAGATCGCATTTCGGAGTATCATACTCCAGAACAAATTTTGTAGTACGACTGCGGGCTCATCCACGCTCGGCTGAACAACCTTAAACTGTACTCTTACTTTAGAGTACTCTATTTCATTGTCTCTATGGGGGTATATGGGGACTTTACGACATTCGGTTTGAATGTTTTAACCACTTTTGATAGGGCTTTTTTGCATTGTATTAGATTAATGTGGCAGTCTAAGGTTCATCTAGCTTTCAAATTTATGCACCCTGTTTTAAAATCATATAGCGATTTTACGACACTCGTTTACTCCAATCAAGGTGACAGCCGAGCATGCCAGGGCTCATCCTGTCGGTGTTCTGGCTGATACTGTTCTGTCGGTGTTCTGGATGAGCCCGCAGTCGTCCTACAAAATTTGTTCTGGAGTATGATACTCCGAAATGCGATCTGACACACACCTTGAAAAC